AACCAGGCTGTGACTCATACGTCAGGCTGCGAGCAGCCGCGTCCAACAGCCTGGTTGATCAGTCCGGCAACCAGGAGGCCTGGTCGACGACCGGGCCGCGGGGACTCTAAGCCCCGGAAGCACCTCAAGGTAACCTCAAGGTAAGGTAGCTGACCATAATGAAGAATTTTGTAGAGAGACTCCTATGAGCAGCGTGCCCACCCTCCATAATATTATACATGTTCACATATAAAGAATTAATATAAAAATAAACTACTCGCCAAAAGTCAGATTGATGAGCTGACCTCTCAACACACAGTTGAAGAACATAGTCATCAACTGAAGAACAGTAAAACCTTCCGCCCTTCCTTCTGTATACCAGCACAAAGACCTCGGCTCAGTCATGGTACTAATTTTAGGTGAAATGTCGAGAGCAGGCAAATATATTGATAGAGTACCAATGCAGATGATACAGCGTATAAAGATGAGGAACCATTGTACCTTCTGGGCCTTTTTCTGGTATTATCTTTGTATCAGAGTGATGCAAATCTTTACCGCTATATTTAATATATATATTATATATAAAAATATATTTACATAATATTCGCTGATCTATTATATGCAGATGACATTAATTCATCAGTAAACAAACAATAAAATTGTTATTAGTAAAATAAACATTAACATTACGTCATCAGGAAAATAAAGATTAACATAGTCATAAATGATGTTTAACGATGCATACTGAGATCTTCGATCATAAACTTCATGATGTCTGAGCTCTACATTACTCAAACATCTGCTACATCAAGGCTAGCCAAGATCAACCGAATTCATCAATGTAAACAATACTTATTCCTCATATTCATCAAGAATACAGCTGACTTATTCATAACCAACACGTGTGTAAACAAAGCTGGAGCAACATTTCTAAAGTCATAACATACAGGTTATCTCATTTAAAACAAAACATGTATTAAGTTGTGATTATAAAATCAAATATAGACGAATCGGTTCATTATTGCGTAAACATGGAAGAGAGAGTTGTACAATTATTACACAACAAAATACAGCATTACATTACAGATTGTAAAAAAAAAAATACTCTTGACAATCAGATATGTTTCTGCAATGCAAATAAATATTTACGTTCAAAATGCTCTACATAGAGTTGTTCAACATAATAATTCTTCCGAGCAATATCTTGAGATTATCTTGAGATGATTTCGGGGCTTTAGTGTCCCCGCGGCCCGGTCCTCGACCAGGCCTCCACCCCCAGGAAGCAGCCCGTGACAGCTGACTAACTCTTGAGGATATCTTGAGGTTATCTTGAGATGATTTCGGGGCTTTAGTGTCCCCGCGGCCCGGTCCTCGACCATGCCTCCACCCCCAGGAAGCAGCCCGTGACAGCTGACTAACACCCAGGTACCTATTTTACTGCTAGGTAACAGGGGCATAGGGTGAAAGAAACTCTGTCCATTGTTTCTCGCCGGCGCCTGGGATCGAACCCAGGACCACAGGATCACAAGTCCAGCGTGCTGTCTGCTCGGCCGACCGGCTCCTAGAGTACCAATATCAGCACGTATAACAGTCATATTGATTTATCGTTTAAAGTGCAAGAAATCTGAACGGCGGGAGTCAAGGCTTTGCAAGAAGATGGAAAAGTGTTTGATCAGTTTAGGGTCTGCAATCCTTAAGAACTAAATTAGTGGGAAGAAGAAAACACTTACAGCTTTAAGGCCTTTGAGAGGGCGACTGGCCTAATGTGAGGCAGGAGAAGCAAGGGGCGAGCCAGGGCGAGGCAGGGCGAGGCAGGGCGAGGCAAGGGCGAGGCGGGAGAAGCAAGGGCGAGGCAGGGCGAGGTGGGAGAAGCAAGGGGCGAGGCGGGAGAAGCAAGGGGCGAGGCAGGGCGAGGCAGGGCGAGGCAGGGCGAGGCGGGAGAAGCAAGGGGCGAGCCAGGGCGAGGCAAGGGGCGAGGCGGGAGAAGCAAGGGGCGAGCCAGGGCGAGGCAAGGGGCGAGGCGGGAGAAGCAAGGGGCGAGGCAGGGCGAGGCGGGAGAAGCAAGGGCGAGGCGGGAGAAGCAAGGGCGAGGCAGGGCGAGGCAAGGGGCGAGGTGGGAGAAGCAAGGGGCGAGGTGGGAGAAGCAAGGGGCGAGGCGGGAGAAGCAAGGGGCGAGGCAGGGCGAGGCGGGAGAAGCAAGGGCGAGGCGGGAGAAGCAAGGGCGAGGCAGGGCGAGGGAGGGCGAGGCAGGGCGAGGCGGGAGAAGCAAAGGCGAGGCAGGGCGAGGCAGGGCGAGGCGGGAGAAGCAAGGGCGAGGCGGGAGAAGCAAGGGCGAGGCGGGAGAAGCAAGGGCGAGGCGGGAGAAGCAAGGGCGAGGCAGGGCGAGGCAGGGCGAGGCAGGGCGAGGGAGGGCGAGGCAGGGCGAGGCGGGAGAAGCAAAGGCGAGGCAGGGCGAGGCAGGGCGAGGCGGGAGAAGCAAAGGCGAGGCAGGGCGAGGCAGGGCGAGGCAGGGCGAGGCAGGGCGAGGCAGGGCGAGGCGGGAGAAGCAAGGGGCGAGGCAGGGCGAGGCAGGGCGAGGCGGGAGAAGCAAAGGCGAGGCAGGGCGAGGCAGGGCGAGGCAGGGCGAGGCAGAGGCAAGGGAGGCGAGGCAGGGCGAGGCAGGGCGAGGCAGGGCGAGGCAGGGCGAGGCAGGGCGAGGCAGGGCGAGGCAGGGCGAGGCAAGCGCCCCTCATACCACTGACCTGTGAATGTTTTCTCTTCACTCATTTTATCTCTTTTTTTTTCTTTAACAGGGCAATTATATTTATTACGGAAGCATTAAGTAGTGGAGTTTAAAGAATTTGGTCTACACCTGGCTACATGAGGTGTAGTCTACATGGGCGTAGACTACATGGGGTGTAGTCTACATGGGCGTAGATCACATGGGGTGTAGGCCACATGGGTGTAGATTACATGGGTGTAGACTACATGGGGTGTAGACTACATGGGGTGTAGGCCACATGGGTGTAGGCCACATGGGTGTAGACTAAACGGGTGTAGAGTAAACGGGTGTAGACTAAACATGAAGACTAAAAGTGTGTTAACTACATGGGTAGACTACATGGGGTGTAGTCTACAAGGGTACGTAGACTACATGGGGTGTAGGTGACTACATGGGTACACAGACTACAAGGGTACACAGTGACTACATGGGCACAGGTGACTACAAGGGTAGTCTACATGGGCGTAGACTACAAGGGTACACAGGTGACTACAAGGGTACAGACTACAAGGGTACACAGGTGACTACAAGGGTACACAGGTGACTACAAGGGTACACAGGTGACTACAAGGGTACACAGGTGACTACAAGGGTACACAGGTGACTACAAGGGTACACAGGTGACTACAAGGGTACACAGGTGACTACAAGGGTACACAGGTGACTACAAGGGTACACAGGTGACTACAAGGGTACACAGGTGACTACAAGGGTACACAGGTGACTACAAGGGTACACAGGTGACTACAAGGGTACACAGGTGACTACAAGGGTACACAGGTGACTACAAGGGTACACAGGTGACTACAAGGGTACACAGGTGACTACAAGGGTACACAGGTGACTACAAGGGTACACAGGTGACTACAAGGGTACACAGGTGACTACAAGGGTACACAGGTGACTACATGGGTACACAGACTACAAGGGTACACAGGTGACTACACAGGGGCGTGACTACAAGGGTGACACAGGTGACTACAAGGGCGTACACTACCTGACTACAAGGGTACACAGGTGACTACAAGACACACAGGTGACTACAAGGGTACACAGGTGACTACACACCACAGGTGACTACAAGGGTGACAGGTGACTACAAGGGTACACCCTGACACAAGGGTGACACTACAAGGGTACACAGGGTGACTACACTACACTGGTGACTACCACACAGGTGACTACAAGACTACACAGGTGACTTCAGACACACAGGTGACTACAAGGGTACACAGGTGACTACAAGGGTACACACCCTGACTACAAGGGTACACAGGTGACTACAAGGGTACACAGGTGACTACAAGGGTACACAGGTGACTACAAGGGTACACAGGTGACTACAAGGGTACACAGGTGACTACAAGGGTACACAGGTGACTACAAGGGTACACAGGTGACTACAAGGGTACACAGGTGACTACAAGGGTACACAGGTGACTACAAGGGTACACAGGTGACTACAAGGGTACACAGGTGACTACCAGGGACAATTGCGTTTAACACTTGACATTTTTTCTCGACAATTTAAAACATATCACACTGACGCGCTCACCCTGACACACCCCTGACACACCCCTGACACACCCCTGACACTCCCTGACACACCCTGACACTCCCTGACACTCCCTGACACACCCTGACACACCCCTGACACACCCTGACACACCCTCCCTGACACACCCTGACACACCCCTGACACTCCCTGACACACCCTGACACACCCCTGACAGTCCTGACACTGACTGACACTGACACCCTGACACACCCCTGACACTCCCTGACACACCCTGACACACCCTGACACACCCTGACACTCCCTGACACTCCCTGACACACCCTGACACACCCCTGACACTCCCTGACACACCCCTGACACACCCCCTGACACTCCCTGACACACCCTGACACACCCCTGACACACCCCTGACACTCCCTGACACACTGACACTCCCTGACACTCCCTGACACACCCCTGACACTCCCTGACACACCCCTGACACTCCCAGACACAATCTGACACTCCCTGACACTCCCTGACACACCCCTGACACTCCTAGACACAATCTGACACTCCCTGACACACCCCTGACACTCCCTGACACACCCTGACACACCCTTCAAACAGACAGGTAGACGGACAGACTCGGACACTGAAGGGGGTACTCCCCCTTGTGTATATACAAGCAGTGATAGTGACTAAGATGATGACAATAGCATGAATACGTCATGACTGATGTTTGCATTGTCGACAGTGCCTCCCAAGATCCTGGATTCGAACACGAGCAGCGACACGGAGGTGGAGGAGGGCAGCCGAGCCGCCCTAAGGTGTGGGGCCAGCGGCAAGCCGGAGCCTTCCTACAGATGGCGCCGGGAGGACTCTTCTCTCATCCAAGGCTCAGGTAAGACAGGTGGGTGATCGTGGTGGGAGCCGGCCTTGAGGTGGGTAGGGAGGTGGGTGGGGAGGTGGGTAGGGAGGTGGGTAGGTAGGTGGTGTACTATACTATAAAAATCAAACTGTACCATTTATAGGCCTAGTATAGCACATATATGCATGATATTAGGCTTAGGATAGCGTGAATTAGATCCAGGATTGCTAGGATAGGTTACCTTAGGATTTGTAGTTACATATCGATTTTCTAAAATGCAATTTGGGCTAATTCAGCCATAGCAAATGGTTATATTACTGTGTGTGTTTGAAGGGTAGTCCAACACATCAAATTGTAAGTCAGATGGGGGTACAGTGGCCAGGAATGTTCATTGATATATTTCTTCATTTTCTGGCGTTTAAGAGTTGATGGTGGTGGGGAGTGAGCTTGTCATACCCCACACGCTGAAGGAACACGCTGGAGCCTACCTCTGTATAGCCAGCAATGGGGTCCTGCCTTCGGTCAGCAAGAGGATTCTCCTCTCTGTCAGGTGTAAGTCTTCCTCGATACTTGGAGCACTTTTTGTTGGAAAGTCAAATCGTGTTGTGTGTGTCTTGAAATGTAAGATATGTTTGTTTCTAAACTGGTTTCTTTGTCTAGACTTGCTAGATATGTCTGTCTCTTAACTGTTCTTTGTCTAAACTTACTAGATATGTCTGTCTCTTAACTGTTCTTTGTCTAAACTTACTAGATATGTCTGTCTCTTGTGTGTCTTGAAATGTAAGATATGTTTGTTTCTAAACTGGTTTCTTTGTCTAAACTTACTAGATATGTCTGTCTCTTAACTGTTCTTTGTCTAAACTTACTAGATATGTCTGTCTCTTAACTGTTCTTTGTCTAGACTCGCTCCAGGTTCGACTGTCAATATCAGATTGACACACGCAATATCAATATCATTTTTTTCCACGGGGGTAACCATATTCGGGTTCTAAACCAATTGTCATGAAGAACAAAGATTTATAACACAAATATGAATATATTTAGAATGTGATGAGTAGCCAAGATATATACTTACGGAATGTGGAATTAATTAGAAGCTCTTGAGTGCATCTGCTGGGCAGCACACGACGGAAGCGTTATTAGGTGGTCGAGACAGCTATTGTGGGTTGCATCCTGTGACAATGGGAACCGAACCAAAGGAATATTCATGTGTGGTGTTTATCTAGATAAAGTCCCATACTTGCACCACTACTCTGCTCAAAGTTACATTGACTGACTTTACAAGCAGCTGCGGTATTGAAGAGTGTGGGAAGTAGCAGTTAAGGTAAAGTAGTTAAAGAGGTTCCTGCCCACCATAGTGTAAAGCCTAGCCGTCCCTAATACCCAAGCTGCCCACCACGGTGTAAAGCCTACCCGTCCCTAATACCCAAGCTGCCCACCACGGTGTAAAGCCTACCCGTCCCTAATACCCAAGCTGCCCACCACGGTGTAAAGCCTACCTGTCCCTAATACCCAAGCTGCCCACCACGGTGTAAAGCCTACCCGTCCCTAATACCCAAGCTGCCCACCACGGTGTAAAGCCTACCCGTCCCTAATACCCAAGCTGCCCACCACGGTGTAAAGCCTACCCGTCCCTAATACCCAAGCTGCCCACCACGGTGTAAAGCCTACCCGTCCCTAATACCCAAGCTGCCCACCACGGTGTAAAGCCTAGCCGTCCCTAATACCCAAGCTGCCCACCACGGTGTAAAGCCTAGCCGTCCCTAATACCCAAGCTGCCCACCACGGTGTAAAGCCTACCCGTCCCTAATACCCAAGCTGCCCACCACGGTGTAAAGCCTACCCGTCCCTAATACCCAAGCTGCCCACCACGGTGTAAAGCCTACCCGTCCCTAATACCCAAGCTGCCCACCACGGTGTAAAGCCTAGCCGTCCCTAATACCCAAGCTGCCCACCACGGTGTAAAGCCTACCCGTCCCTAATACCCAAGCTGCCCACCACGGTGTAAAGCCTACCCGTCCCTAATACCCAAGCTGCCCACCACGGTGTAAAGCCTACCCGTCCCTAATACCCAAGCTGCCCACCACGGTGTAAAGCCTACCTGTCCCTAATACCCAAGCTGCCCACCACGGTGTAAAGCCTAGCCGTCCCTAATACCCAAGCTGCCCACCACGGTGTAAAGCCTAGCCGTCCCTAATACCCAAGCTGCCCACCACGGTGTAATGCCTACCTGTCCCTAATACCCAAGCTGCCCACCACGGTGTAAAGCCTACCCGTCCCTAATACCCAAGCTGCCCACCACGGTGTAAAGCCTACCCGTCCCTAATACCCAAGCTGCCCACCACGGTGTAAAGCCTAGCCGTCCCTAATACCCAAGCTGCCCACCACGGTGTAAAGCCTAGCCGTCCCTAATACCCAAGCTGCCCACCACGGTGTAAAGCCTACCCGTCCCTAATACCCAAGCTGCCCACCACGGTGTAAAGCCTACCCGTCCCTAATACCCAAGCTGCCCACCACGGTGTAAAGCCTACCCGTCCCTAATACCCAAGCTGCCCACCACGGTGTAAAGCCTACCCGTCCCTAATACCCAAGCTGCCCACCACGGTGTAAAGCCTACCCGTCCCTAATACCCAAGCTGCCCACCACAGTGTAAAGCCTACCTGTCCCTAATACCCAAGCTGCCCACCACGGTGTAAAGCCTACCCATCCCTAATACCCAAGCTGCCCACCACGGTGTAAAGCCTACCCGTCCCTAATACCCAAGCTGCCCACCACGGTGTAAAGCCAACCCGTCCCTAATACCCAAGCTGCCCACCACGGTGTAAAGCCTACCCGTCCCTAATACCCAAGCTGCCCACCACGGTGTAAAGCCTACCCGTCCCTAATACCCAAGCTGCCCACCACAGTGTAAAGCCTACCTGTCCCTAATACCCAAGCTGCCCACCACGGTGTAAAGCCTACCCATCCCTAATACCCAAGCTGCCCACCACGGTGTAAAGCCCAGCCGTCCCTAATACCCAAGCTGCCCACCACGGTGTAAAGCCCAGCCGTCCCTAATACCCAAGCTGCCCACCACGGTGTAAAGCCCAGCCGTCCCTAATACCCACAAGAGCACAGGGAGGTAAGACGCCAATATCAGGGCCTTATATAAAGCTCACTCTCTCCTCTGAGAGTGAGTGCGGCTCACAGCTATATAGCTCCTAATGCACTCACACAAGAGCGGAAATCAGAGGACACGAGACATCCCTCGTCTCTCTTAATCCTTTTATCATGCCTAGAGGTCAGATGGAGGGGGGATTTCGGACCCTGCGGTAGGGAGTTACAGGCCCTACGGAGAGGGTGTGTGTGGGAGGGGCCTTCATCCCTATGAAGGGATGTTCAGGTCCTGAGGAGTGGGTGTGAGGAAGGTATTTAGGCCCTGCGGATAAGGTGTTGGGGGGTGTTAAGGACCTACGGAATGGTTGTGGTGTTAAATCCCTATGGAAGGGATGTGAAGGGAGAGGTGTTTAGAGCGTGTGTAGATCCCCTTAACGTACATCAGACATACGTCCAAACATGCAACTTTCTCTCAATTTAAACTAAAAGACAATTATTCCTTCAGACGACTAACATGGCGTCTCCGTCCAACCTATTCCAGTCCGGCCGACGATCCAGGGATGGGAGGACGAGGTGTGGTCTACCCTGGGGTCCTCGGTCAACCTATCCTGCGTGGTCGACGCCTATCCCGAGCCCTCCATGGTGTGGCTCAGAGACTCTGGCCACCCTGTCACCAGCCACCGGTATCTCTACCACCACTACCACCACCACCACCACACTGGCCACCAGGTGAGTGGTTCTCCTACCTTAGCTGCTGATTGGATCAGCTGTGGGCTCTGGGGATCAGCTGTGGGCTCTGTGGATCAGCTGTGGGCTCTGGGGATCAGCTGTGGGCTCTGGGGATCAGCTGTGGGCTCTGGGGATCAGCTGTGGGCTCTGGGGATCAGCTGTGGGCTCTGGGGATCAGCTGTGGGCTCTGGGCTCTGGGGATCAGCTGTGGGCTCTGGGGATCAGCTGTGGGCTCTGGGGATCAGCTGTGGGCTCTGGGGATCAGCTGTGGGCTCTGGGGATCAGCTGTGGGCTCTGGGGATCAGCTGTGGGCTCTGTGGATCAGCTGTGGGCTCTGTGGATCAGCTGTGGGCTCTGTGGATCAGCTATGGGCTCTGAGGATCAGCTATGGGCTCTGAGGATCAGCTGTGGGCTCAGAGGATCAGCTGTGGGATCAGAGGATCAGTTCTGAGTCTGTTAGTTTATGATTATCGTAATCTTATGAACAACCACACCTTGTGAACAACCACACACCTTGTGAACAACCACACACCGTGTGAACAACCACACACCGTGTGAACAACCACACACCGTGTGAACAACCACACACCTTGTGAACAACCACACACCTTGTGAACAACCACACACCGTGTGAACAACCACACACCGTGTGAACAACCACACACCGTGTGAACAACCACACACCTTGTGAACAACCACACACCTTGTGAACAACCACACACCTTGTGAACAACCACACACCGTGTGAACAACCACACACCGTGTGAACAACCACACACCGTGTGAACAACCACACACCGTGTGAACAACCACACACCGTGTGAACAACCACACACCGTGTGAACAACCACACACCGTGTGAACAACCACACACCGTGTGAACAACCACACACCGTGTGAACAACCACACACCGTGTGAACAACCACACACCGTGTGAACAACCACACACCGTGTGAACAACCACACACCGTGTGAACAACCACACACCGTGTGAACAACCACACACCGTGTGAACAACCACACACCGTGTGAACAACCACACACCGTGTGAACAACCACACACCGTGTGAACAACCACCAAACCACACACCGTGTGAACAACCACATCCTCACTAGTGTGTCGCTCAATAAATCTAAAAAAAAAAATATTCCACTCAGGAAAATTAATTTACATTGCCAAACCACCTCCGGCGCCATATGACGAGAGCTCTATTCCATTCTTCATATATATATATATATATATATATATATATATATACATACATAAAACATGTGTACATGTATATTCATATGTATGAATTATTCTCGCTTAAAGTGGTCAGGGGTGCGCTAAGCCAGGAAGGCAGAGCGATTAGACTGGTACCAGTTGAGTAGTTAAGCCTACATTATCGCTAATGATGGCTCTAAGCCTCTTCCTTGTGAGGTATTGACTAACAGCATATAACTCTCGCTTGCATCATGTAACACACGCTAACAACATATATAACATTCGCTAACAACATATAACACTCGCTAACAACATATATAACACTCGCTAACAACATATATAACACTCGCTAACAACATATATATAACACTCGCTAACAACACATATATAACACTCGCTAACAACACATATAACACACGCTAACAACACATATAACACTCGCTAACAACATATATTTAACACTCGCTAACAACATATATATAACACAACAACATACTAACCGCTATTAACCGCTATTTCTTTCTCTTGGACTGAAGAATAATACCTCGCTGTATCTCCTGGTAAACTGTGACTTTTCCTCACCTGGAAGACAAGGGAAAACTTCTCGACTTTCCTCTCAGTTCGTTGGCTGGTCACTGTTGATGCAACACAACACCCTGTGTGTGTGTGTTGCACTATGCGTGCTACACTGTACACTGTGTACTGCATATAGTGTACGACGTATGGAGTAAGGAGAAGACCAGTGGTGATTAATGTAACGTTTGTGTCTTATCCTGGTAATGTTCCTGTTGAAACTTACTGTTTGTGTCATATCCTGGTAATGTTCCTGTTGAAACTTACTGTTTGTGTCATATCCTGGTAATGTTCTTGTTGAAACTTACTGTTTGTGTCATATCCTGGTAATGTTCTTGTGGAAACTGTCCCGGGTACCTCCTAGTAACTAGGGACTGTCCTAGGTACTAACGAGTAACTAGAAATGCCCCCGATACCAACTGATAACGTCCTTAGTACCAAAACCAGCACCTATCCCTGTGTCTTCCAGAGATATATAGCCCTTAACCCCTGACCCCATGACTGATTGGAGAAAGAATCTAGCTCCTGGGCCACGCCTGATGATCAGGCTTTTGTGGGTTCCAGGTATCTTCTGGGTGCGCGTGTTCTGCCTGGCTCATTGAATAATGAATATAGAACAATATAACTCACAACATAACAATCTTGAGTTATATTTATCTATAACTCTACATGTCTCATTCTTGTTTCAGTCATGTTCTGTCTGCTGAGTTGTTAAGTTCTATGGTTGAACAGCTCTTCTGGGATGCGTTTTGGAGTCATTTGACAATCTTGCAATACGACAAGGTGGCCTGTTTGCTGGTTGTATTTCAACATTGCATGCAAAGAGGAGGGCATGGCTGGGTCATTTTCTTTGTGAGAGATTGGTGGGATTGGTACTTGTCTCTATTTTATCACTTTCACTCACATGTTCATCCAACCACTCTCATAAACTCATCCATCCTTTACTTTATGTCAGTCAATGACATAAAACTTGTCATTAACTGACATTACTTCCATAAAGTTACTCCTCAACTTAATAGATTTGTTACTCTATTTCTGAGCCAATATTGACCTCATAGTTTGTCCGCGATTTTAGGTGATCGTTTTCGATTCAAACTATTCTAAACTATTCCAACCTATTCCCAGCTATTCCAACCTATTCCCAACTATTCCTCTGCCACTGCGGGTAGAGGAAATAAAATTGACTCTATTCCAAGCCCCAGTGTCAATAAAGAACTTTATTCGGGGTTGTACGGGAGTTGTACCACGTACAACCACGTACGGGTTGTACGTGCTTGTGTCAAAGAAAGCAGATTCGACGTTCAGCGCAGAGGTGGGAAAGATTATTTTGGAAGACCAATCTATAGGATGATTGGAGTCTCCTAACACGAGAAGAGAGTATTTTATAGGGTGAGAAAGTTGAACAAATTTCTTTAGAGGAGTTTTATGTCTTTCAAATTCTATTGAAGGATTGGTCTTCCAAAAATTAATCTTTTTGGTCTCTATTCTCAAGAGAAGAAGGCTTGTTGACTCGACTTTAGTAAACAACATGGCCCTTAGGTAAGGGCTTTGTTAAGAACATAACAGGAAAGGAATTGTTGCTGTTGACTTCTGCCTTTCTCAAGACATATTCTCCCTTCGTCCTCTCCTATCTCTCCTGTTCCTCTCTCTCTGTGGTTTCTATATTCGTTCAATGTGTTTTTTCACCTCTTTTTCTGTTTCTCGTTTCTCTTCTCCTTCCTGCTTGCTTTGTTTAGCTTCCATTACGACTTCTGCAGTTCCCTTGTTCTTGTATTAACCCTGTGTTCATAGTTTTTCACTTTCTCCTCACTATCCTCGCACTGTCTGTCTGTCTCTGTCTGTCTTTCTCTGTCTCTCTGTCTCTGTCTGTCTTTCTCTGTCTCTCTGTCTCTGTCTGTCTTTCTCTGTCTCTCTGTCTCTCTGTCTCTGTCTCTCTGTCTCTGTCTCTCTGTCTCTCTGTCTCTGTCTCTCTGTCTCTGTCTCTCTGTTTCTCTGTCTCTGTCTCTGTCTGTCTCTGTCTGTCTCTGTCTGTCTGTCTCTGTCTGTCTGTCTGTCTCTGTCTGTCTGTCTCTGTCTGTCTGTCTCTGTCTGTCTGTCTCTGTCTGTCTGTCTCTGTCTGTCTGTCTCTGTCTCTCTGCCTCTGTCTCTGTCTCTCTGTCTCTCTGTCTCTCTCTGTCTCTCTGTCTCTCTCTCTCTCTCTGTCTCTCTCTCTCTCTCTCTCTCTGTCTCTCTCTGTCTCTCTGTCTCTGTCTCTCTGTCTCTCTGTCTCTCTGTCTCTCTGTCTCTCTGTCTCTCTCTCTCTCTCTCTCTCTCTCTCTCTCTCTCTCTCTCTCTCTCTCTCTCTCTCTCTCTCTCTCTCTCTCTCTTCCCTTGTCATGACCCAACCATCGTTAATTTCATTTGATTTTCAATATGTGGGTTCAGTTACATACAGCTTTTGCTGTACCCGACCTGATAGCGCCCATATGTACTCATCTTGGGCTCAATTCGAACCCCCTTTAATTTTCGAAATAATATATCGTCGAGAGCCCGTACATGTCCCTGAGAAGGGATTACAAATGAATGAAAATATTCGTTAATATACAAGTTTAAAAAGTTAAGGTTAACTTGGGTTTAGAGCGCTAACAAAGGCTCGCCGTACAACTTAGCGTATAATCTCCAGCGATACACACATGTTATAGCAAATATAATTAATTGCTCGGAGCTTATCCGAGTTTGTGGAAGAGACAAGTTTTGAACCTGTTCGGTCTTTACTGTTCCGTTATTAGGCTTTGAATATCATTGTATGCTGTCCTCTTTATGTGAGATTTATACACGTGTATACTGTAAATAATAATACATGGCACTGCGCTTGCACAATGTGAAGGATTGTATTTTAAAATGCAATTCAGTATTTCAATGAACCACTGTTTCTGTCGCTGGTGACGCATTTAAGATATTTATTTTCTCTATGTTTCTCTGTCTATCTCTGTCCCTATCTCTATCTCTATATTTCTATTTCTCTCTCATTATATATATATATATATATATATATATATATATATATATATATATATATATATATATATATATATATATATATATATAATATATAATATATATATATATTATATATATATATTAGTGTTGATATATGGGACTTGATAAATAGTCACCAATATTATAGTGAATTTTAATAAGTAATTACTAAGGCTAGATAAATTATTAAGACCTTATAATTTGTAATATATCAAGCAAACTACGAATGCTCTAATTAGATGAATGCACCATTTCATCGATTCCAAATATTGCTAATAGTTATGAATGTATTAGAGAAAACATTTGATTTCCGACAGCTGTCCTGACAGCCCCACAGACGCTCTGGCGAATGTCACTATAATACTGACGTGCTGACTGACAGGTGCAGAAGTACCTGACGGGGGCGCAGCAGGTGAACGCTACACGGTGGGTGATGGTGCTTCAGGTTACCAGTCTTCAGGACTACGACTTTCAGGACTATCGGTGCCGCGCTAACAACTCCCACGGCTCAGCCGAGGCCAAGATTGGTGTCTTCAGTAAGTGTTCTTGTCTGTCTGGCTTCGTCATGTTGACTAAGCGTCTTGTCCTCATTACCATATTGTTCATTAGCATGTTATCTTGACTTCCCTGGGTCTTATTCTTCCCTATATATTCCTTACAAGTTGACCAGACCACACACACTAGAAGGTGAAGGGGACGACGACGACGTTTCGGTCCGTCCTGGACCATTCTCGAGTCAATTGTGAATCGACTTGAGCCACAGATGTATTCTCACAAACGACTTGAGAATGGTCCAGGACGGACCGAAACGTCGTCGTCGTCCAAGGCTACTTATAGCCCAGGCGATAGAGCGTCTGTTGCATACACGTGGGGTCTAGGGTTCGAGCCCCCGTGCAGCTCAGGTCGTCGTCGTCCCTTCACCTTCTAGTGTGTTGTCTGGTCAACATACTTCAGCCACGTTATTGTGACTCATCGTCTTCCTTACAAGGGGTATTTAGAACATTGTGCTTGTAATTACCTAACCTGCACCAGGATCAGCTGGCTAACACCAGGATCAGCTGGCTAACACCAGGATCAGCTGGCTAACACCAGGATCAGCTGGCTAACACCAGGATCAGCTGGCTAACACCAGGATCAGTTTGGCTAACACCAGGATCAGCTGGCTAACACCAGGATCAGCTGGCTAACACCAGGATCAGCTGGCTAACACCAGGATCAGCTGGCTAACACCAGGATCAGCTGGCTAACACCAGGATCAGCTGGCTAACACCAGGATCAGCTGGCTAACACCAGGACACACTACACCAAGAACACATCAAACATTACCATACAAGGTGTCTAGCCCCCCAAACACATACAGAAACTACGACGTTGGTACAACGTTCGAACAAGTTTTAACACTTCCTAACCAGTTATAACAACCAATATAGCAAGTTGTAACAATGTTCTAATATGTCATAAACACGTTAAGCCAAGATGTAACAACTTTATTTCAAGTTGTAACAAGCGGAAAATAGAGACAGTTTCGGTTTGTGTTTCCAGGGCTGTCTCACACTGAAGTCTCTATTTACATCAGTAAGCTTCTGAACACTAGAAACACACAAAGCTGTGTAGTTCCTAACGCTAAAGCTTGCGTTGTGACGTTGTTAGTTATTAAATAGAACACAAATTATTGGATATTAAACTAGATAAGCTTAACGTTTAGGAAAGACCTGGGTAAATACTGGTCGCTTTGGACTGTTAACATGTGGAACACATTATCGTGTAACACAATACACGTGGAGTTTGGTAACTTGCTGCAAGTTAAACACACACATATGACTGATTTTGTGTGGATATATATGTATATCTGAGCTGCCTCACATAGGCCTATAGGCCTCCTGCAGTTTAATTAATGCTTATATATTTCATTCCTGGCCCAACAGTGCCTATAACCTACTGAGCGACGCGAACAACTGAACAATGTTCAATGATTGTGATTTGATAAAGCACAGGTGATTGTAATAGTGTTATTGTTGCGTTATTAATTGCGCTTGCAAACGCACCTGTCCGGCCTAAGGCGAGCACTGGGAGGCTTTTCATCTGGTCCTGCAGCTGTGGGTGCCTGGCACGGTGCCGCGCCTCGGACTGAGTGCCCTGGAGTGCCTCCTATTGTCCTCAGGTTCCCTTATTCACTCTTGGTTACGAGTTGTAGTTTTTGTCCAGGTGGTGAATGGGTGGCTCCTAGTGGGTGTAGCCTGGTGAGTGTAGCCTGGGGTGTAGCCTGGGGTGTACCCTGCTGGGTGTAGCCTGGGGTGTAGCCTGGTGGGTGTACCCTAGTGGGTGTAGCCTGGTGAGTGTACCCTGGGGTGTAGCCTGGGGTGTAGCCTGCTGGGTGTACCCTGGTGGGTGTAGCCTGGTGGGTGTACCCTGACACGTCCCCTGGGGTGTAGCCTAGTTTGTCCACTAGTGTACACCCTAGTGTGTGTACCACCTATATGTACTCACCTATATGTGCTTGCAGGATCGAGCATTGACTCTTGGATCCCGCCTTTCTAGCTATCGGTGTTTACAGCAATGACTCCTGTCCCATTTCCCTATCATACCTAGTTTTAAAAGTATGAATAGTATTTGCTTCCACAACCTGTTCCCCAAGTGCATTCCATTTTTCTACTACTCTCACGCTAAAAGAAAACTTCCTAACATCTCTGTGACTCATCTGAGTTTCCAGTTTCCACCCATGTCCCCTCGTTGTGTGTGTGTGTGTGTGTGTGTGTGTGTGTGTGTGTGTGTGTGTGTGTGTGTGTGTGTGTGTGTGCATATTTAATATTTGTACCTGCAGGATCGAGAAGCTGCTAGCTCTTGGACCCCGGCTTTCTAACCGTCGGTTGTTCAATGTACTGACTTCCGATCTATTTTCCTCTATCATGTATGCTACATATATTTCACATCCATACATATACACACACATGCGCGCGCACACAAATACATATATACACGCACACATACATCCTGAATGAGTCGGATATCAAATAACTTAAGTTGGAAGCACGCTTGGGAATGAGTGATCACAGTGTACTGTTATTTGAGTACCTGGTTAAGGAAAAAAATAGGAGTAATCTCCCCCCCCCCCCCCACCACCCGAAAAAAACTAGAAAGCAAAGGGCTGACGTACCGAAAGGGGAAATTATGAGGAGATGAGAAAATTCCCTAAGAGAAATACCATGGGACACAGAACTAAGTCCGTACACGACATGATGGACTATATCACCCAAAAGTATCTAGAGGGAGTAAAAAGTTCATCTCGGAAGTAAATGCGGAATCCGTGGATTAAGAGAGCATGTATGGACGCAAAGAAACTAAACAAAAGGGCGTGGAGGAATTACCTAACCTAAATAACAGAGCACCAGAGAGCAGCGAGAGAGATACCAGAGGACCAGGAATGTGTATCTCAGTCTGTGAAGATAAAGAGAGACAGTATAAGAATGACGTAGCAAATAAACGCAAGATAAAGTTCCAAAACTGCTCCACAGTCACATCAGGAGGAAAACAACAGTGAAAGAACAGGTGATGAAACTCAGAACGGGTGAGGACAGGTACACAGAGAATGACAAAGAGGTGCGTGAAGAACTAAACATGAGATTCCAGGAGGTCTTCATACCAGAACGCGAAGTCTCTGAAGAGGAGGCAGTAAACCGTGCAGCCTTGAAAGGGTGCGAAATTACCATAGATGAGGTTAAGAGGCACCTGTTGGATCTGGACGTGAGAAAGGCAATTGATCCGAACGAAATCTCACCATGGGGTACTGAAAGAGTGTGCAAAAGTACTTCGCTTGCCACTCCCCGTGGTGTATAATAAATCACTGGAAACGGACCTACTAGAAAGCTGGAAGGCAGCTAATGTAGTCCCAAAATAAAAAAAGGGTGACAGACAAGAGGCACTGAACTACAGGCCAGTGTCCTTAACTTGTATACCAAGCAAGATGATGGAGAAGATCGTGAGAAAAAAACTAGTATCAAATTTAGAGAGAAGGAACTTCGTGACAACCCATCAACATGGGTTCAGGGAGGGTAAATCTTGCCTATCTGGCTTAACAGAATTCCACGACCAGATGACAAAGATTAAGAAAGAAAGAGAAGGTTGGGCATTTTCTTGGACTGTCGAAAAGCTTTTGACACAGTACCCCATAAAAGGATGATGCATAAGCTGGAAAAACAGGCAGGAGTACCTGTAAGGATGCTCCAGTGGATAAGGGAGTACCTAAGCAATAGGAAGCAGAAAGTTACTGTGAGAGGTGGGACCAATAAAATCAAATAAAATCTATTTGTCACTCTGAATAAAGACACTGTTTTACTTAACCAGAAATATACAAACCCTAACAACCCACCTAACCTATCAAATGCCATGCATGAAAAACGTCAATATTACGACGCTTTAATATTTACTAACATGTAACAATTTTGACGGTTCGTAGATTGTGTAAACAATAAAAAGAGACAGATTAGATGACGGGACGGTTTCATATGTGTTGCAACACCATATAATGATCTGTGCAACACTGTTGTTACAATTCATAACATTCTCTATGAAACACTCTTATTGCAAGACCGTAACATTCTCCATACAAAACTGACGTTGCAAGGCCGTAACGTTCTATAAGCAACACTGCTGTCTTTGCAATGTCGTAACATTTGTTATGCAACACTGATGTTGCAAGGTTGTAATATTATCTGTTTAATACTCCCTTTGCAAGTCAGTAACATTATATCTGCAACAGTGTCGTCGAAAGGTTGCAAATATTATCTGTGTAATTCTGTCGTTGCTGCAAGGTCGTCAAATTCTCAGTGCAACACTGGCGTTGCAAGATTGCAGCATTCTCTGTGTATCGCAGTCGTTCGAGTGCTCGTATATACCGAGAAACAATGTCCTCGTTCATCGGATCACAGTTAATTACCTGAGAGCGCTCCGCGCTATGTTTTCTGGCACTTAATGAGGCACTCTCGGGGAAGCTGTCTTGATTGCCTAGTAATCCTGGCACTCGTCAAAGAGCCATAATCTCGCTTAATCATCTTCAGTCTTTTTTTTTTGAGTCTGTATCAAGGAGGATTTACACTGATGTAGTGCACCCCAATATGAAACATGCTACAAATGAACAAATCCACAAGGGCCGTTATCTTGAGGTTATCTTGAGATGATTTCGGAGCTTAGCGTCCCCGCGACCCGGTCCTCGACCAGGCCTCCTTTTTGTTACACATCCCCAGAAAGCAGCCCGTAGCAGTTAACTAACTCCCAGGTACCTATTTACTGCTAGGTAACAGGGGCATCAGGCTGGAAGAAACATTTTGCCCATTTGTCTCTGCTTCCACCGGGGATCGAACTCGGAACCTCAGGACTACGAAACCGAAGCGCTGTCCACCCAGCTGTCAGGCGCCCGGACAGACGTGACGAGGGATGGAACCAACGTCCGAGAAAATGCCTTCGTTTATTTGTTTATTTGATGCATCAGACTATGTGTGTGTGTGTGTGTGTGTGTGTGTGTGTGTGTGTGTGTGTGTGTGTGTGTGTGTGTGTGTGTGTGTGTGTGTGTGTGTGTGTGTGTGTGTGTGTGTGTGTGTGTGTACTCACCTAGTTGTACTCACCTAGTTGTGTTTGCGGGGGTTGAGCTCTGGCTCTTTGGTCCCGCCTCTCAACCGTCAATCAACACGTGTACAGATTCCTGAGCCTATTGGGCTCTATCATATCTACACTTGAAACTGTGTATGGAGTCAGCCTCCACCACATCACTTCCTAATGCATTCCATTTGTCAACCACTCTGACACTAAAAAAGTTCTTTCTAATATCTCTGTGGCTCATTTGGGCACTCAGTTTCCACCTGTGTCCCCTTGTGCGTGTTCCCCTTGTGTTAAATAGACTGTCTTTATCTACCCTATCAATTCCCTTCAGAATCTTGAATGTGGTGATCATGTCCCCCCTAACTCTTCTGTCTTCCAGCGAAGTGAGGTTTAATTCCCGTAGTCTCTCCTCGTAGCTCATACCTCTCAGCTCGGGTACTAGTCTGGTGGCAAACCTTTGAACCTTTTCCAGTTTAGTCTTATCCTTGACTAGATATGGACTCCATGCTGGGGCTGCATACTCCAGGATTGGCCTGACATATGTGGTATACAAAGTTCTGAATGATTCTTTACACAAGTTTCTGAATGCCGTTCGTATGTTGGCCAGCCTGGCATATGCCGCTGATGTTATCCGCTTGATATGTGCTGCAGGAGACAGGTCTGGCGTGATATCAACCCCAAGTCTTTTTCCTTCTCTGACTCCTGAAGAATTTCCTCTCCCAGATGATACCTTGTATCTGGCCTCCTGCTCCCTACACCTATCTTCATTACATTACATTGGTTGGGTTAAACTCTAACAACCATTTGTTCGATCATTCCTTCAGCTTGTCTAGGTCTTCTTGAAGCCTCAAACAGTCCTCTTCTGTTTTAATCCTTCTCATAATTTTAGCATCGTCCGCAAACATTGAGAGAAATGAATCGATACCCTCCGGGAGATCATTTACATATATCAGAAACCAGATAGGACCGAGTACAGAGCCCTGTGGGACTCCACTGGTGACTTCACGCCAATCGGAGGTCTCACCCCTCACCGTAACTCTCTGCTTCCTATTGCTTAGATACTCCCTTATCCACTGGAGCACCTTACCAGCTACACCTGCCTGTCTCTCCAGCTTATGTACCAGCCTCTTATGCGGTACTGTGTCAAAGGCTTTCCGACAATCCAAGAAAATGATCAAGCCTGTAAGGCAAGATTTACCCTCCCTGAACCCATGTTGGCGATTTGTCACGAAGTCCCTTCTCTCCAGATGTGTTACCAGGTTTTTTTTCACGATCTTCTCCATCACCTTGCATGGTATACAAGTCAAGGACACTGGCCTGTAGTTCAGTGCCTCTTGCCTGTCGCCCTTTTTGTATATTGGGACCACATTCGCCGTCTTCCATATTTCTGGTAGGTCTCCCGTCTCCAGTGACTTACTATACACTATGGAGAGTGGCAAGCAAAGTGCCTCTGCACACTCTTTCAGTATCCACGGCGAGATCCCGTCTGGACCAACAGCCTTTCTAACTTCCAGATCCAGCAGGTGTCTCTTGACCTCCTCTCTCGTAATTTCGAACTCTTCCAAGGCTGCCTGGTTTACCTCCCTTTCTCCTAGCACAGTGACCTCACCTTGTTCTATTGTGAAGACCTCCTGCCCGCCAACCACACAGCGAACTGCGACGTTGGTACAACGTTCGAGCAAGTTTTAACACCTCCTAACCAGTTATAACAACCATATAGCAAGTTGTAACAACGTTCTAATACGTCATAAACACGTTAAGCCAAATTTAACAACTTTATTACAAGTTGTAACAAGCGGAAAATAGAGACAGTTTCGGCTTGTGTTTCCAGGGTGGAACCTCTTGTTGAGTTCTTCACACACCTCTCTGTCATTCTCTGTAAACCTGTCCTCGCCTGTTCGAAGTTTCAATACCTGTTCTTTCACTGTTGTTTTCCTTCTGATGTGACTGTGGAGTAGCTTTGGTTCGGTCTTGGCTTTGTTTGCTATATCATTTTCAAAACTTTTCTCTGCTTCTCTTCTCACCCTGACATACTCATTCCTGGTTCTCTGGTATCTCTCTCTGCTTTCTGGTGTTCTATTATTCCGGAAGTTCCTCCACGCCCTTTTGTTCAGTTTCTCTTCGCTTCCATACATGCCCTATTATACCATGGATTCTTCTGTTGCTTCTCGGATTTTTCCCTTTGGGCCGGGATGAACCTGTTTACTGCCTCCTGACACTTTTGGGTAACATAGTCCATCATACCCTCTACAGACTTATCTCTGAGGTCTGTGTCCCAAGGTATTTCACTTAGGAACTTCTCATCTGTTCATAATTCCCCTTTCGGTATGCCAGCCTTTTGATTCCTAGTTCTTTTTTGGGGGAGATAAGTCCTTGTGTGTGTGTGTGTGTGTGTGTGACTAAGAAATCCAAGGATGCGGGTTCGATCCCAATTAATGGGCCTCAGAATATTCTCAGTCGCTAACTATTAATTATGTATTATTAAGAAGCACTGAAACAACTCTAATGATCTAGAAGAAAAAAACGTATAATTATGATCATTTAAAACTCTAAGTGAAAGACACCAAATATTTCACACCTGACTTGGTGAAACTCGAACATGTGGCCTCTCTGTAAATGCTAGTGTTTCGTATACCATTATATATAGGCAGATCCCCCCCGACCAGCATGTGTTATGTCCGTCCCGTACCTCAGTCCGTTCACCCTGCAAAGGTTTGTTTGTGTGAATCTAGCCCCAGGCATCTGGCCCTCCTACTTTGGACGGAAGGAGTGGCATCCTTATCGATATAGATGGATAAGGTTATTGTTAACGATCATCGCATTTCTCACTGACTTTAAACCATTTCTGATACAGAGATACAACCTACAACCACCACTACCACCACCACTACCACTACTACCACCACTACCAGCACCACTACCACCACTGCTGCTCTACCTTCCTCCGGCACTCATCACTCCAGCGACAGCCTCTTACCCTGGAAGGTAGACATAGGTAAGTGATGTTTAAGACAAGCGATAGACAATAGACATAGGTAAATAATGCTCCTCTGTTTATTACCTGAATATATATAATATATATATATTATATATTAATAAAAAAAGGTATTACTTTTCTCTATTGACTTTAAACAAAGTTGTGGTGTTAGGGGGACAGAATGCGTCATAATATTTGACAAGCACACTTATGGTAATTAATTTAGTTTTTATATTTTTAGTATTGAGAAGTACCATTTTGGTCTCAAACTTGGTCTCATAGTTTAAATCTTGCGCTTCAAGTATATATACCATTAAGGGTGACGAGGCTGAACATTTTAGGGATTAAGGCACACACTGCGCAATGTCAGGAGAACAAACTTTTCAAACTCGGTTATTTGTAAGGTAACCTACATATATGGCATGATAGGGGCGAGGTTTTGGTCGTTATGGCTCCTTGACAAGGCGCCATAACTTGACAAGGTGCCACGACTTGACAAGACGCCACGACTTGACAAGACGCCACGACTTGACAAGACGCCACGACTTGACAAGACGCCACGACTTGACAAGACGCCATAACTAGACAAGGAGCCGCGACTTGACAAGACGCCACGACTTGACAAGACGCCACGACTTGACAAGACGCCATAACTAGACAAGGAGCCGCGACTTGACAAGACGCCACGACTTGACAAGACGCCACGACTTGACAAGACGCCATAACTAGACAAGGAGCCGCGACTTGACAAGACGCCACGACTTGACAAGACGCCACGACTTGACAAGACGCCACGACTTGACAAGACGCCACGACTTGACAAGACGCCACGACTTGACAAGACGCCACGACTTGACAAGACGCCACGACTTGACAAGACGCCACGACTTGACAAGACGCCACGACTTGACAAGACGCCACGACTTGACAAGACGCCACGACTTGACAAGACGCCACGACTTGACAAGACGCCACGACTTGACAAGACGCCACGACTTGACAAGACGCCACGACTTGACAAGACGCCACGACTAGACAAGACGCCACGACTAGACAAGACGCCACGACTAGACAAGACGCCACGACTTGACAAGACGCCACGACTTGACAAGACGCCACGACTTGACAAGACGCCACGACTTGACAAGACGCCACGACTTGACAAGACGCCACGACTTGACAAGACGCCACGACTTGACAAGACGCCACGACTTGACAAGACGCCACGACTAGACAAGACGCCACGACTTGACAAGACGCCACAACTAGACAAGACGCCATAACAGACACACACACACACACACTGTCATACCACATATAAGTCAACAATTCAGATGATCACTTGTTACGAAAAATGCCGAATATGAGTACATATATGACTATATATGTGGTTTCCCAGGGAGCCAGACGGGGCCCCGGGCCGGTGCAGGACCGGAGGCGGAGGACAGCAAGTCACGCGAGCATCAGCAGGCGCAACAAGACGCCGTCAACACCTCCTGGAATAAACAACACGAGAGGAAGACATTCACCTACAGTAATGGAGGTGAGGGGCCAGGTCATGTGTCCATGTCTGGGGAGGGAGGGAGGGGGTGGGGGGGGGGGGAGGGGGTGAAGAAGGGGGTCTAGAAGGGGTGAAATGGATTTAACTAACGTTTATATATGCTCTTTACGTGCATCTAAACGTTAATTCACTCCCCCCCCCCCCCCACTCGCCTCCTTCATCCCCTCCCCCCCCTCTCCAGACCCCTCCTTAAATACCCCCTCCAGACCCCTCCATCAATACCCCCCTCCATCAATACCCCCCCTCCATCATACCCCCCCTCCATCAATACCCCCCTCCATCAATACCCCCCCCCTCCATCATACCCCCCCTCCATCAATACCCCCCCTCCATCAATACCCCCCCTCCATCAATACCCCCCCTCCATCAATACCCCCCCTCCATCAATACCCCCCCTCCATCAATACCCCCCCTCCATCAATACCCCCCCTCCATCAATACCCCCCTCCATCAATACCCCCCCCTCCATCAATACCCCCCTCCATCAATACCCCCCTCCATCAATACCCCCCTCCATCAATACCCCCCCAATCCATCAATACCCCCCCTCCATCAATACCCCCCCTCCATCAATACCCCCCTCCATCAATACCCCCCTCCATCAATACCCCCCCTCCATCAATACCCCCCCCTCCATCAATACCCACTTTGCTATCTTACCCCCCCCCCTCCATCAATACCCCCCTCCATCAATACCCCCCCCTCCATCAATACCCCCTCCATCAATACCCCCCTCCATCAATACCCCCCTCCATCAACCCCCCCCCCTCCATCAATACCCCCCCCTCCATCAATACCCCCCTCCATCAATACCCCCTCCATCAATACCCCCCCCTCCATCAATACCCCCTCCATCAATACCCCCCTCCATCAATACCCCCCCTCCATCAATACCCCCCCTCCATCAATACCCCCCCTCCATCAATACCCCCCTCCATCAATACCCCCCCTCCATCAATACCCCCCTCCATCAATACCCCCCTCCATCAATACCCCCCTCCATCAATACCCCCCCTCCATCAATACCCCCCCCCCTCCATCAATACCCGCTTTGCTATCTTACCCCCCCCCTCCATCAATACCCACTTTGCTATCTTACCCCCCTCCATCAATACCCCCCCTCCATCAATACCCCCCCTCCATCAATACCCCCCCCTCCATCAATACCCCCCCTCCATCAATACCCCCCCCCTCCATCAATACCCACTTTGCTATCTTACCCCCCCCTCCATCAATACCCCCCCTCCATCAATACCCCCCCTCCATCAATACCCCCCTCCATCAATACCCCCCCTCCATCAATACCCCCCCCCCCTCCATCAATACCCGCTTTGCTATCTTACCCCCCCCCTCCATCATACCCACTTTGCTATCTTACCCCCCTCCATCAATACCCCCCTCCATCAATACCCCCCCTCCATCAATACCCCCCCCTCCATCAATACCCCCCCTCCATCAATCATACCCCCCCCCCCTCCATCAATACCCACTTTGCTATCTTACCCCCCCTCCATCAATACCCCCCCTCCATCAATACCCCTACTTCAATACCCACTTTGCTATCTTACCCCCATATAAACTGACATACACTAACTTCAACAAATATTGTATCAATTTATTAATGGGTTCCGGAGCAAAGTAATCTACATCTTCAGCTTACAGCCGTTGGACAAGGGGGTTCAATCCCCGTGTAAGATAGATACGGCTGGGCTCGTTTTTCCATTCCTCCCTGATGCCCCTGTTCACCCAGTAGTTAAATGGAAATCCTGGGAAACAAGCAACTGCTGTAG